CACAGAGCTCTACAGGAGCTCCTTTAACTCACTTAACGCTGTTTTGCATCGTGGACAATGTTTCATGCACATTCCATTTACGTTCCCTATGCTTTCTCTAAAATTCCTGTATTTTACAGAGTGGGGCAGAGAAAGCAAATTAAAATATTTGCTTCAAGGGCTTGGAACTGACTATGTAGGCACATGCGAGGTGAAGCCTTTCTGTTTTCCACTTACCCCATCTTTGAAAGGACAGAGATTATTTCATTCAGCACTTGGTCTGGACTCAGTAGTTGACTCCTGGTAACATCACAGTGTGCCTAAAAGCAGTCAGCTCATTAACAAAAATTAGAACCGTAGAAAATATCTTTTTCCTAAAACTGAAGATATTACGGAACCTTTTCATGCTGAAAGCTGCAGAACATCCAACCATGCAGACAAATGCTTCAGCTCTCCAGTGTGATCATCGTACGACGCTGGAATAACAGCAACAGCTTCTCAACAATTAATATCAAAGCACTGCAAGTTCTAAAATCAGCACAGAATCCAAAGCAGCAGAGATGGGCCAGGGAAGCACAGAGACAGGCATGTAGCCAGAAGTGCTCACCTGACAGGATGGCAGAAGACAGGCATGAACCCATGTTTGAGTATCCTACAGCACTGCCCCTACCACACAGCTGGGGAATTGCATGTGCTGTGCTGCTTTGCTGACTGAGTGCTTCAGATGTCAAGGAGCACACAAGGTTCCATGAGGCTTTTCTAGCCCTGAAGTATCATAGTGCAAAAAAACCCACAAAAAAAACCAAGGTACTTCCCAACCTCAAGTTAATGGTTGCAGACCCAAAGGGTCCCTGTTTGTGGCCGCCCAACAGTGCCGAACGCGGCACCCGCCGTGCTGGGATGCCAGCAGCCCCCCAGCTCACAGGGCTGCCCCTCTGCGCATCTCAGGAGCCACGGGGCAGCCGGTGAGCAGTCTGTGGGCAGGGCTGCGTTGCAGCCAAGGCTCCTGGCTCAGGCTTGCAGCATGCAGCCCCGAAGCCAACAGCCACTCACGCGGACCCCTCCCGCTCTGTCCTTCCAGTGTGCTGCCAGCGATCCGGACAGTGCCTGAAGCCCAAGAGCAGCCGGTGACCTGCCAGCTGCAGGGGAAGGCAGGCACATCAAGCCAACAAGACCTGCGCCCAGCACCGCGAACCAAACGTGTCAGCTTCCTTGATGAGCAACAGGGGGCTGAACAAGACCAGCACGAGGGTGCGGCGCAAACACTGCAGGCAGCCAAGGCCTCACCCCGTCGCATGTCCTTGAGGCCAAGACCGCCTTCCAGAAGAGGTTCCGAATCTTCCTCAAGGGCTGAGTCTGCGGAGCCTCAAGGCAGACCGTCCAGGCTCCCTCGGGCATGCGACTCCGTGAAACTCCTCAGGAAGAGGGCAAGGAAGATCATGCGAGTGCAGAAAGCACTCAAGCAGATGACACCATCACCACTGCGTGGTCAGTCCAGCCTGCCTGAGGAGTCTGGCATGCAGCGACCTGGATTGCTGCCACCCATCAAAGAAGAAACGGGGTCTCCCGAGTGTCAGCCTCCGAGCACCCCAACCCCACCCCGCAGGAAGGACACACCCTACCCACACTGGTTCAGGCCTGGGGTGCACACGACCGACAGACTGGAGGCTGCAAGACAGAGGCAGGAATCCCATCGGCATCACCGCTCGTAGTAAACCAGGCTGCCCAGGGCCCCATCCAACCTGGCCTTGAACACCTCCAGGGACGGGGCATCCACAACCGCTCTGGGCATGCGGTTCCACCATCTCACCACTCTGTCTGTAAAGAAGAATCCAACCTGACGTCCCATCTTCAACTCAACACCACTTCCCCTTGGCCTGACCTTAGCTACACCATCAAAGAGTTGACTCCCCTCCTGTTTGGAGGCTCCCTTCATGGACTGGAAGGCTGCAATGAGGTCACCGCGCAGCCTTCCCTTCTCCAGGCCAAACAAGGAGATCTAGAGTGAAGTGTAGAGGGGCAAAACCATCAATAAAGCCTCCTCCTTTAAACATCTCCAGAATGCCTGTGACAGTGTCATTGCGTCTTTTTATGCCGGCTCTCTTTATGCCGGTGGAGGGAGAAAGAATTGTGAGAGGGCATCAGAGCGTCGCACGATGCTTTACTTGATGCCAAAGGAAATCCAGCGTCTCTTTGGACTTATCTGGATCGCAAGCTTATCCGCTGTTGAGCTGCCACAGTCCCCCTGTTCACGCCAGCCAGCTTTTGGCCTGGCGGGCCTCAAGGGCCAGCCGCCTTTAAACCTCGCAGGGCCCTCCCGGCCAGCCGGATGGCCATCTTTTGGCCTGGCAGCGTCCGCTGGGCCGGCTGGCCAGCCTTTGGCCCGGCAGGGCCCTCCCAAGCTGCTGGCTGGCAGTTGGCCATGCTGGGACCCTGGCTTTTGGCCTAGTATGACCTCCTGGCCAGCTGGGAGACTCCTGCATGGCAGGGCTACCCGGGACAGTCAGCCTGACATCTTTTGGCCTGGCAGGGCCCCCCTGTCCGGCCAGCCGGCTTTGTGGAGGCAGGGATCCACAGGCCGGCCGGCCCGCCGCCTTTTGGCTTGGCAGGATCCCCCCAGCTGGCTGGGAATCTTCTGGCCTGGCAAAGCTAGACGGGTCAGTTGGCAGGACAGCTTTTGGCCAGGCAGGGCTCCCCACTTTGGCTGGCCTGCCAGATGTTGGCCTGGCAGGGCACCCGGCCAGCCGGGATGCTGCCGGCCAGGCAGGATCACCCAGGCCAGCCGGCAACCCAACTTTGAACCCTGCAGGGTGCCCTGCCCGGCCAGCAGGCTTTAACCCAGCGTTCCCTCCCCTCCCCCCCGCTGCCCCTCGAGCCCCACTCGGGCTTCAGGCCCTGTGCCCTCCCTCCCCCCCACCCCCTCATTCCAGGGTATTTTACTGCCTTCGCCCCACCCCCTCCACGGGTGGCCCACAGCCCCCCGAGTCCCTCGCTCTGACCCCCGGGGAATTCTGGGTGTCAGAGAGGAGGGGCGGGGGAGGGGAGATGAATGTAGGGGACTGAATGGCAAGACTTGTGGGGGGTCGGGAAAGGGGACACAAGGGATCGGAGTGGGGGACCGAGGAAGGAACAGGGGGGAGGGGGTCGGACAGGGGACCCTGGGAATCAGAATGGGGAACAGGGGCAGACGCTGACGGAGGAACCGAGGGGGCGGGTGGAAGAGGACTCCATCACTGAGAATGGGGGAGTTGGAGGTGGGGGACGGGGGGAGAGTTTGCTGGGGAAATTGCTGAGGCCTGCAGTGCAGGAGAAGAGCCCAGAACTGGGACAAAGGTCGGCGAGGTAGACGACTGACCTCATCCCAAACGACCACCGAATGGGGAGGAAGAGGTCGAGCCTTCATCCAATGGAAGCTACTGCGCGTGCCCTGGGGAGGGGGGACAGTATGTAAATGAATTCCCGGGAAAGTACTGACTATGTCAGTGGGTCTTGGGTAATACTACCAAATAGGTATGGCCTGGCTAAGGAATGGATCGAGACCCCACTCTGTGCTGTGCAAGCTAGGAGGAGCCATCCCCCTGGCACCCGGCGTGTGGCGCAGCGCTGAGACAAAACGTATCTGCTCTTCTAACCTTACGTGGGCTAGAGAGTTTGATTCCGCACATCAGGGGCACCCCGCTGATGGCGGCGGTCCTGCCTGGGCGGTGGGCTGACTCCTTGGGACAGCCGATCCGAAACCGAGACTGTTCCATAAGGACGGGCTCTGTGAAAGCCAAGGGGCAGGCAGGCACGGGTGCTGGCCGTTGCGACCCGGTACCTTCGTGCACGGACCGAGGTCAGGGCATACTGATCGTAATAAAAGTCAGTTAACCCGGACAGCGTTTGCCAGGGTGGTGAGAGCAGCCCGATGATTCTTGAGAACCGGTCAGCTTGTGAGCCTGAGATTTGGGTTCCTCTATGCCATGGTGGAACTTTACTGCAGTACGTGGATGCCACAGTAACAAAGGAGGACGGTGTGCAATGGACTGAGTTTGCTGAATTTCTTGATTTAAATGGCTATCGAGTTTCTCAACAGAAAGCACCACTGATCCAAGAGCGGGAAGCAATTTGCTGAACAGCCAGAACACCAACGGAGGGCTGCCTCCAAGCCAGCAGCGTGCGACTGCACGGAGACTCTGTGCCAGCTGGTCAGAGCTCCAGGAGGAACCGCTGGGCGACGCTGAGGATTCCCGGGTTCATGGACGGAAGCAGTTTGGTGAGACAAGGAAACTGTAAGGCAGCACATGCAGTAACTGCTGCTGACAAGGTACATGACACCAAGCCATTACCTGCGGGGACTTCCACTCAGAAGGCTGAAATAACTGCCTTGACAAGAACCTTCACTCTGTGGACAGATGCTAAAAGTGCTTTTGGGGTATGGACTCCGCACCAGATACCCCAGGGAGACCAGTTCAACCCAGAGAGCCCGCAAGTGCCTTGCGCCGTCCTGACACCCTCCTCAAGCCTTCAGAACCTGTACAGACAACTGGAGAGCTGTCAGGAGTGCACTGAAAGAGGAAGAGCCCAAAGTACATTTAACGAGTCTATTTATTTATGGATGTTTTCTGCGCTATTGCAGGCAAATTCAGGCAGCACGCTGCAGTCAGCATTCATCCAAGGCGTCTCCTAAGGAGGTTTGCTCTTCCACTGTGTGGACAAACTTCCTTATGGACATTACGTAACATCTTTCACACCTACAGCCTCAAAACAAAGAAACAATAATATATACAATATATATGATATGTATATATACAATATATACAACACATACAATAAATAAAACAACAAAAACCCCCATCTATTTTGACTTGCACACTGCCAGGTACCCCCCAGACTGTCCCTGTACGGATTAGCCATGACGTCCCTCAATCTCTGCACTGAATGATCCATACTAGGTTGTGATAACTCTCTTTTGTTTAAATCTCTTCTTTGACGGTGATCACCACAGGATTTTCCATGCCCCCTAAAAAAACGTCTGCTCTCTTCCCATCAGCAATAGACCGTGAGGTCAAACACTGGGCAAACAGAGATCTCTGCTGGCTGAGCGTAAACTTCCGACTAATTACTGAGCTTCTGACCCTCACTCCACACTTGGTCCTTGCTTCTGGGCATCTGCCTGTCCTCCCTTGCGCAGAGATAAGCTCGGAAGGAGGACAGAGGGGAGCATCTCGATGCCTGCCTGTCACACCCCAACCTTCTCCCGGAGTCAGACAGTCCGGCCTCGTGTAGAGGCCCCGGCTTCTCTGATGCTTGTTCAATCTGTTTTCTTCTGCTGGCAGCTGGCAGCTGCTTATCCTAACAGAACAACCCTGCAAGATGTTTGCTAATCCCTACCACGATTCCCACATTGCTTGGAACATTCAACAGCTATTGCAGGATTGCAGGAAAGACTTAGTCCCATAATTCAGCAATTCTGTTTCTAAAACATGCAAAACTGAGCTGCTTCCTGACAACAGGTCATCCACGTTCCGGGCAGAGCACTTTGGAACAGTGCTCGTTTCCGTATCGCCTGCTTGAAGATCAACGCAGGCAACGGCCGCTGAAGGAGAACGAGTCCTAGCCCACTGAGAGCAAAGGAGGGAAGAGAGAGAAAGCAGAGAGGGCTCAGCACTCCCAGCCGGGCCGGGCAGCCGCTGCCGGTGCCCGCGTCACAATGGGCAGCGGCCAGCACCGGCCACGCTGTCATCGCGTCGCCGTGGCGACGTTTGTGACACGGGCACCCGGAGGGGTATAAAAGGCGGAGCGCGGCGGTGGGTCCCGCATCCTGAAGGAGCATCTGGCAGAGAGCAGACGCATCTGAAGGATGAGCTCCGGCATGGCTGGCGCCAAGGAGGAGCGAGCCGCCGGCACCAGGCGGAACGGCAGGAGCGAGGTCGGCCCCGCAGCGGGGCGCGCCTCCAGTCCGACATGCAGCGACACCAAAGGTACGCGGGGCCACGGCCGGCACAGGAGCGGTGCTGCAGCCGCCCCCGGCACGGAGGCGACCCTTTCCATCTGCCGCCTCGCTCCCGCCTGGCAGCGGTGGCGGTGCCGGGAAGCGGCAGATGCAGAGTGTGACCTGCTTTTCCTTTGCCCTCCAGAGCGAGTCGCCGTCTGGGAAGCGGTGGCCGCCTACGTACGGGAGCAGCTCCTGGTGCAGAAGGTGTGTTGGCCGTCGGGTTCCTCCTGCCCCTGTGCGGCTCAGCCTGGACTTGCTCTGAGTCTTCCCCTCGGCACAAAGCAGGAGACTCCCCCCACGTTTCTCTCCTGGGCATCCCACGGGCTTCCTGCAAATGCGCGATCACTCGTGCTGGGTCCTGTCGCATCTCAGGGCTGATCCCGGTCTCTGGAAGCCTCTGGATCCCATGGGGCTGCTTCTGCCCTGCAGCCTGCTGTGCTGCATCTGGGAGGGCGAGGGGAAGGAGAGGACCGTGCAGCCCCCTTTCCCAAAGCCATGCCCAGTGCCCTGGCTCGTGCCTCTGAACGGCGGGAGAGGGCTCCTGAGCTCTGTCCCTACGTCGGACCCCCCCCGGCTCTTCCTCCGGCCGTCCCATAACCCTTCCGCCCTTCCTTTCTCTTCCACTTGCAGGGGGTCTGGATTCCCACCTTCGGCACCTTTGACACCGTCCCCAAAGACGTCCGGACTGAGGAAGGGACCGTGACTCTGCAGTGGCCCGTGTTTAACCTGGCTTCAAACCTCACAGCCACGCACCACCTCAAGCCCCACAAGGAGTCCCTGCCAGGTAGGAGGGGGGATTAAACTTTTGCTGGCTTCGTGGACAGGGCAAACGGCCACCGCCTCCATCCTCAAAAGCAAACCTCCCCCTCTGAGGAGCCCGTCCAAACATGGGGCCGTTCTGGCTGATGTCCACCAGAAGCACTTCTAGGGAAGCACCTGTGGAAAACCAACCCTATCATCAACTCTGTCCCTTGCATTTTTCAGTCCTTAGGAAGGTGGAGCCCATGAAATACAGCGAGGTGGCCGCAGCTGCCTCTCTCAACTGGGAGACACTCAGGAGGGGCATCCAAAGCACCATGTCCCTGCTCTCCGGCTGCCTGCAGAATGGGGAGAACGTTGCCATTGTCCTAAAGGACGTCGGCGTGCTCCACATTGACGGGCTCACCTTTGAAATGAAATACTTCTTTGACTTCCTGGAGAAGCTGTCAGGGAAAGAGAAATTCAGAAGAGCTGTTTTCAAGGTGAGCTGCAGTTTCTCCGTGGCCCAGGCACTGCCGTGACCCTTGCTGTGCCCGCTGTGCCTCAGCCGTGACCAGGACGTCCCACATCCTCCCCGTTTCTCCCCTGCAGGCCCCCTGGCTGCTGGACGTGGTGGTGTCCCGGGTGGCACCGGTGGCCTCCCTGGCGCTCTCCGGCTGCGTTGTGGTCTTTCCCCTGTGAGTATGTTGGTGGCTGTAGCTGCTGCTTGACGCAGCTGCTCAGCTCTCGTTCCGTAGCGCTTGTTCCTTGTGTCCGTGACTGTCCTGCCCGTGAGCGTGTGTCACAGAATCACCGAATGATTTGGGCTGGAAGGAACCCCGAAAGGGCACCTCGTCCCACTCCCCCGCAGGGAACAGGGACACCTACCCCCAGAGGAGGTTGCTCTGAGCCTGCTCCAGCCCCACCTTGAAAGCCCGTCCGGGCACCCACCACCTCTCTGGGCAAGATGCTCCGCTGCCTCGCCGCCCTTCTGTCAAAAACCTCTGCCTTATATCCCACCTAAATCTTCCCTCCTGCCGTTTGAAACTGTTTCCCCTTCACCTATCCCGACCGACCCTGCAAAAGGCTTTCAAAAGTAGTGTGCTTAATGCAGCATGAAAATGTGCCTGTGAGCAGACAATCAGAGAGAGCAACAAGGATTGCTGGAGCGCTGCGTCACACCGCTCGCTGTCTTCTCCTGTTGTGCAGGTTTCAAATGGAGTTTGCACCCAAACCACCACCCGCAGTATACCGCAGGTCCTCAGGAAGCCACTCTAGTCGGGAGACACCAACGAAAGAAGGCACTTTGCCACCTCTGGACCAGGGCAAGAAAGGTAAAGCAGCTGCCGGTTCCTTCCCGTGGCACGGGCAACATACTTGAGGTGGGAAATCCCCTGCTGACCATCAGCCACGGTCTCTGACTTGTGTCAGAGCTTCACGCCGGCTCAGCACGGCCTCTTCCCATGAGGAATTGTTGGCCTCTCCCTAACTAAGGCGCTGGGTGCGACGTGCCCTCATCCCTGGCTTTGTTGGGAGGATGTGCGGATCTTAGGCCCTGCCCTCCCCCAGCGCAAGGATACGGTCCCCAAAAGTCACCCTGCCACCTCATCATCACCACCCAGCTCCTCTTTCCCAAAGCCAACGCCACTAATGCAGTCCCAAAACAGAGCTGAATGGCAGAGAGGAGGAGTGGGGCCAGGGATGCTGTCAGGGAGGGCCCGAGGGCGGTGCAGATGGCAGCAGCGGGGGGAGCAGAGCGGCCCTCTCGGCTGTTCTGGGAACAGGCCTGAGCGCCCCTGGTGAGTGAGCCAAAGGGTTGACGGTGAATCTCCTCTGCCTTCCCCATTGCAGTGAGATTTGCTGGCCAACCAACCTTCATCAAACGGTTGAGCGCAGACAGCGCTGATGGAGAAGAATTCAGACGGGTCAGGAGCTTACTGCGGAAGGAGAGCTCCAGGTTCAGGTGAGGCTGAGGGCCCCGGGCTGCCACGTGCACGGGGGTGACCCAACGAGAGCCCATTCCCTAGCCCCAAAGGGTCCCTGTTTGTGGCCGCCCAACAGTGCCGAACGCGGCACCCGCCGTGCTGGGATGCCAGCAGCCCCCCAGCTCACAGGGCTGCCCCTCTGCGCATCTCAGGAGCCACGGGGCAGCCGGTGAGCAGTCTGTGGGCAGGGCTGCGTTGCAGCCAAGGCTCCTGGCTCAGGCTTGCAGCATGCAGCCCCGAAGCCAACAGCCACTCACGCGGACCCCTCCCGCTCTGTCCTTCCAGTGTGCTGCCAGCGATCCGGACAGTGCCTGAAGCCCAAGAGCAGCCGGTGACCTGCCAGCTGCAGGGGAAGGCAGGCACATCAAGCCAACAAGACCTGCGCCCAGCACCGCGAACCAAACGTGTCAGCTTCCTTGATGAGCAACAGGGGGCTGAACAAGACCAGCACGAGGGTGCGGCGCAAACACTGCAGGCAGCCAAGGCCTCACCCCGTCGCATGTCCTTGAGGCCAAGACCGCCTTCCAGAAGAGGTTCCGAATCTTCCTCAAGGGCTGAGTCTGCGGAGCCTCAAGGCAGACCGTCCAGGCTCCCTCGGGCATGCGACTCCGTGAAACTCCTCAGGAAGAGGGCAAGGAAGATCATGCGAGTGCAGAAAGCACTCAAGCAGATGACACCATCACCACTGCGTGGTCAGTCCAGCCTGCCTGAGGAGTCTGGCATGCAGCGACCTGGATTGCTGCCACCCATCAAAGAAGAAACGGGGTCTCCCGAGTGTCAGCCTCCGAGCACCCCAACCCCACCCCGCAGGAAGGACACACCCTACCCACACTGGTTCAGGCCTGGGGTGCACACGACCGACAGACTGGAGGCTGCAAGACAGAGGCAGGAATCCCATCGGCATCACCGCTCGTAGTAAACCAGGCTGCCCAGGGCCCCATCCAACCTGGCCTTGAACACCTCCAGGGACGGGGCATCCACAACCGCTCTGGGCGTCCGGTTCCACCATCTCACCACTCTGTCTGTAAAGAAGAATCCAACCTGACGTCCCATCTTCAACTCAACACCACTTCCCCTTGGCCTGACCTTAGCTACACCATCAAAGAGTTGACTCCCCTCCTGTTTGGAGGCTCCCTTCATGGACTGGAAGGCTGCAATGAGGTCACCGCGCAGCCTTCCCTTCTCCAGGCCAAACAAGGAGATCTAGAGTGAAGTGTAGAGGGGCAAAACCATCAATAAAGCCTCCTCCTTTAAACATCTCCAGAATGCCTGTGACAGTGTCATTGCGTCTTTTTATGCCGGCTCTCTTTATGCCGGTGGAGGGAGAAAGAATTGTGAGAGGGCATCAGAGCGTCGCACGATGCTTTACTTGATGCCAAAGGAAATCCAGCGTCTCTTTGGACTTATCTGGATCGCAAGCTTATCCGCTGTTGAGCTGCCACAGTCCCCCTGTTCACGCCAGCCAGCTTTTGGCCTGGCGGGCCTCAAGGGCCAGCCGCCTTTAAACCTCGCAGGGCCCTCCCGGCCAGCCGGATGGCCATCTTTTGGCCTGGCAGCGTCCGCTGGGCCGGCTGGCCAGCCTTTGGCCCGGCAGGGCCCTCCCAAGCTGCTGGCTGGCAGTTGGCCATGCTGGGACCCTGGCTTTTGGCCTAGTATGACCTCCTGGCCAGCTGGGAGACTCCTGCATGGCAGGGCTACCCGGGACAGTCAGCCTGACATCTTTTGGCCTGGCAGGGCCCCCCTGTCCGGCCAGCCGGCTTTGTGGAGGCAGGGATCCACAGGCCGGCCGGCCCGCCGCCTTTTGGCTTGGCAGGATCCCCCCAGCTGGCTGGGAATCTTCTGGCCTGGCAAAGCTAGACGGGTCAGTTGGCAGGACAGCTTTTGGCCAGGCAGGGCTCCCCACTTTGGCTGGCCTGCCAGATGTTGGCCTGGCAGGGCACCCGGCCAGCCGGGATGCTGCCGGCCAGGCAGGATCACCCAGGCCAGCCGGCAACCCAACTTTGAACCCTGCAGGGTGCCCTGCCCGGCCAGCAGGCTTTAACCCAGCGTTCCCTCCCCTCCCCCCCGCTGCCCCTCGAGCCCCACTCGGGCTTCAGGCCCTGTGCCCTCCCTCCCCCCCACCCCCTCATTCCAGGGTATTTTACTGCCTTCGCCCCACCCCCTCCACGGGTGGCCCACAGCCCCCCGAGTCCCTCGCTCTGACCCCCGGGGAATTCTGGGTGTCAGAGAGGAGGGGCGGGGGAGGGGAGATGAATGTAGGGGACTGAATGGCAAGACTTGTGGGGGGTCGGGAAAGGGGACACAAGGGATCGGAGTGGGGGACCGAGGAAGGAACAGGGGGGAGGGGGTCGGACAGGGGACCCTGGGAATCAGAATGGGGAACAGGGGCAGACGCTGACGGAGGAACCGAGGGGGCGGGTGGAAGAGGACTCCATCACTGAGAATGGGGGAGTTGGAGGTGGGGGACGGGGGGAGAGTTTGCTGGGGAAATTGCTGAGGCCTGCAGTGCAGGAGAAGAGCCCAGAACTGGGACAAAGGTCGGCGAGGTAGACGACTGACCTCATCCCAAACGACCACCGAATGGGGAGGAAGAGGTCGAGCCTTCATCCAATGGAAGCTACTGCGCGTGCCCTGGGGAGGGGGGACAGTATGTAAATGAATTCCCGGGAAAGTACTGACTATGTCAGTGGGTCTTGGGTAATACTACCAAATAGGTATGGCCTGGCTAAGGAATGGATCGAGACCCCACTCTGTGCTGTGCAAGCTAGGAGGAGCCATCCCCCTGGCACCCGGCGTGTGGCGCAGCGCTGAGACAAAACGTATCTGCTCTTCTAACCTTACGTGGGCTAGAGAGTTTGATTCCGCACATCAGGGGCACCCCGCTGATGGCGGCGGTCCTGCCTGGGCGGTGGGCTGACTCCTTGGGACAGCCGATCAGAAACCGAGACTGTTCCATAAGGACGGGCTCTGTGAAAGCCAAGGGGCAGGCAGGCACGGGTGCTGGCCGTTGCGACCCGGTACCTTCGTGCACGGACCGAGGTCAGGGCATACTGATCGTAATAAAAGTCAGTTAACCCGGACAGCGTTTGCCAGGGTGGTGAGAGCAGCCCGATGATTCTTGAGAACCGGTCAGCTTGTGAGCCTGAGATTTGGGTTCCTCTATGCCATGGTGGAACTTTACTGCAGTACGTGGATGCCACAGTAACAAAGGAGGACGGTGTGCAATGGACTGAGTTTGCTGAATTTCTTGATTTAAATGGCTATCGAGTTTCTCAACAGAAAGCACCACTGATCCAAGAGCGGGAAGCAATTTGCTGAACAGCCAGAACACCAACGGAGGGCTGCCTCCAAGCCAGCAGCGTGCGACTGCACGGAGACTCTGTGCCAGCTGGTCAGAGCTCCAGGAGGAACCGCTGGGCGACGCTGAGGATTCCCGGGTTCATGGACGGAAGCAGTTTGGTGAGACAAGGAAACTGTAAGGCAGCACATGCAGTAACTGCTGCTGACAAGGTACATGACACCAAGCCATTACCTGCGGGGACTTCCACTCAGAAGGCTGAAATAACTGCCTTGACAAGAACCTTCACTCTGTGGACAGATGCTAAAAGTGCTTTTGGGGTATGGACTCCGCACCAGATACCCCAGGGAGACCAGTTCAACCCAGAGAGCCCGCAAGTGCCTTGCGCCGTCCTGACACCCTCCTCAAGCCTTCAGAACCTGTACAGACAACTGGAGAGCTGTCAGGAGTGCACTGAAAGAGGAAGAGCCCAAAGTACATTTAACGAGTCTATTTATTTATGGATGTTTTCTGCGCTATTGCAGGCAAATTCAGGCAGCACGCTGCAGTCAGCATTCATCCAAGGCGTCTCCTAAGGAGGTTTGCTCTTCCACTGTGTGGACAAACTTCCTTATGGACATTACGTAACATCTTTCACACCTACAGCCTCAAAACAAAGAAACAATAATATATACAATATATATGATATGTATATATACAATATATACAACACATACAATAAATAAAACAACAAAAACCCCCATCTATTTTGACTTGCACACTGCCAGGTACCCCCCAGACTGTCCCTGTACGGATTAGCCATGACGTCCCTCAATCTCTGCACTGAATGATCCATACTAGGTTGTGATAACTCTCTTTTGTTTAAATCTCTTCTTTGACGGTGATCACCACAGGATTTTCCATGCCCCCTAAAAAAACGTCTGCTCTCTTCCCATCAGCAATAGACCGTGAGGTCAAACACTGGGCAAACAGAGATCTCTGCTGGCTGAGCGTAAACTTCCGACTAATTACTGAGCTTCTGACCCTCACTCCACACTTGGTCCTTGCTTCTGGGCATCTGCCTGTCCTCCCTTGCGCAGAGATAAGCTCGGAAGGAGGACAGAGGGGAGCATCTCGATGCCTGCCTGTCACACCCCAACCTTCTCCCGGAGTCAGACAGTCCGGCCTCGTGTAGAGGCCCCGGCTTCTCTGATGCTTGTTCAATCTGTTTTCTTCTGCTGGCAGCTGGCAGCTGCTTATCCTAACAGAACAACCCTGCAAGATGTTTGCTAATCCCTACCACGATTCCCACATTGCTTGGAACATTCAACAGCTATTGCAGGATTGCAGGAAAGACTTAGTCCCATAATTCAGCAATTCTGTTTCTAAAACATGCAAAACTGAGCTGCTTCCTGACAACAGGTCATCCACGTTCCGGGCAGAGCACTTTGGAACAGTGCTCGTTTCCGTATCGCCTGCTTGAAGATCAACGCAGGCAACGGCCGCTGAAGGAGAACGAGTCCTAGCCCACTGAGAGCAAAGGAGGGAAGAGAGAGAAAGCAGAGAGGGCTCAGCACTCCCAGCCGGGCCGGGCAGCCGCTGCCGGTGCCCGCGTCACAATGGGCAGCGGCCAGCACCGGCCACGCTGTCATCGCGTCGCCGTGGCGACGTTTGTGACACGGGCACCCGGAGGGGTATAAAAGGCGGAGCGCGGCGGTGGGTCCCGCATCCTGAAGGAGCATCTGGCAGAGAGCAGACGCATCTGAAGGATGAGCTCCGGCATGGCTGGCGCCAAGGAGGAGCGAGCCGCCGGCACCAGGCGGAACGGCAGGAGCGAGGTCGGCCCCGCAGCGGGGCGCGCCTCCAGTCCGACATGCAGCGACACCAAAGGTACGCGGGGCCACGGCCGGCACAGGAGCGGTGCTGCAGCCGCCCCCGGCACGGAGGCGACCCTTTCCATCTGCCGCCTCGCTCCCGCCTGGCAGCGGTGGCGGTGCCGGGAAGCGGCAGATGCAGAGTGTGACCTGCTTTTCCTTTGCCCTCCAGAGCGAGTCGCCGTCTGGGAAGCGGTGGCCGCCTACGTACGGGAGCAGCTCCTGGTGCAGAAGGTGTGTTGGCCGTCGGGTTCCTCCTGCCCCTGTGCGGCTCAGCCTGGACTTGCTCTGAGTCTTCCCCTCGGCACAAAGCAGGAGACTCCCCCCACGTTTCTCTCCTGGGCATCCCACGGGCTTCCTGCAAATGCGCGATCACTCGTGCTGGGTCCTGTCGCATCTCAGGGCTGATCCCGGTCTCTGGAAGCCTCTGGATCCCATGGGGCTGCTTCTGCCCTGCAGCCTGCTGTGCTGCATCTGGGAGGGCGAGGGGAAGGAGAGGACCGTGCAGCCCCCTTTCCCAAAGCCATGCCCAGTGCCCTGGCTCGTGCCTCTGAACGGCGGGAGAGGGCTCCTGAGCTCTGTCCCTACGTCGGACCCCCCCCGGCTCTTCCTCCGGCCGTCCCATAACCCTTCCGCCCTTCCTTTCTCTTCCACTTGCAGGGGGTCTGGATTCCCACCTTCGGCACCTTTGACACCGTCCCCAAAGACGTCCGGACTGAGGAAGGGACCGTGACTCTGCAGTGGCCCGTGTTTAACCTGGCTTCA